AGCGTGTGAAGGTGAGGACGAAAAGCAGGGCAGTGTCGGTGGAGTCACTGTTGACAGGACCGGACGTTGCCTACAACATTTTTCAAGCATGATCCCTCTTGAGTTCATGTCGCGAGCGTTAGCTGAGTCGTCCAACCCAATTTACGAGCTCGAGCTTTTGCCGATCCACATTGCCATCAGTTTGTGGGGAAGCTTTTTAAGCTCGACCCACGCAGTGTTTTACCTTGACAATGATGCAGCCAGGGCAGCCTTGTGCAAAGGTTGTGGAGGCACGCAACTTGGAAGCCTGCTTGTTCAAAACATAATGGAAAGCGAAAGCACTCTGCGGTTGAAGTCCTGGTATGCCAGGGTACCAAGCCACTCCAATATTTCAGACGGACCTAGCCGTTTGGATTGCACCGAAGTGATACAGTTGGGGTCCAAAGAAGTGAAGGTAGACTGGAGCAAAATTCTTGAGAACCTTCTTTAGTGCGCTTTTCCAATACGGGGAGAGCACGGGCACACTGATTTTTCCCCAACTGCTCAGAGAAAAAGGTGCGGCTGTTTCAGGAGTGACTTTTCAACTTTGTTTCTCTCGAGTGCTGACGTTTTCGTTATGTTTTAATTTTTTACGTCGACGACGACGACTTTCGCAGAGATTTTGTAAAGAACAGCGGTTTCCTTAAATGAATAAGTGCAAAGAGATGGTGGAAGGCTCACGCTGCAAAAAAGGATACCATGTTTGCGCCATCTGCTATGGCCAACATTGTATGTTGGATCACAAGAAGGCTTGACTCCCTGGCCAAGCCAAAGCAGTTACCGAGCATGAAAAGGCTTTTAAGCGCAAAGCTGATTGTGAAGATTTGACCTTGCCTGAGCCCAATTCGATGCAAAAGCATTCCCGAAGAAGTTTGCCAGATGAATTTTTGCAATTTGATTCTCCCAAGCACTTGCAGCAGCCAAGCGCTTCTGACTCGCAGCGACCTCAACCTGAGACCAGGTCGCATGTGCAGACACCCGAAATTCACTTGCACCAAGATTTTGCCAAACCATATGCAGCCCCAACGCTAGCCAGTGAGGCCAACACTGCAATGACAGATCCTCACGCCGTAAGCAATGATCCCTTCATCATACAACTGTGTGCAGGTTCCGCCAGAGTGACATCATGCCTACAATACTTTGGACTGAAATCCTCATTTGGAGTTGATCACAAGCGCCAACGCAACTCCGGTCGATTGCTCACAGCCGACCTGACATCTGATGAAGGGCAAGCGCTCTGCATTCAATGGCTCTCTTCACCCCATTGCATGGGGGTGTTTGCAGCACCGCCGTGTGGAACCTGTAGCAGAGCCAGAGGAATACCCGTGCGCCTTCCCAACGGCAAATGGGTACCTGGTCCTAAGCCACTGAGAACTGATGCCATGCCTGATGGTATTTTGCACATGACCAAACTCGAGCGTGCTCGAGTGAATTCAGCAAATACATTATATGCCTTCATCGCGAAGATTGCACTGCTCTGTCTCGAGTCACAAAAGTTGATTTGTATTGAAAATCCTCGCTCATCACTTTTTTGGAGAACTTCATTTTTTGCACCATTAAAGAGCCTGCTCACATACACAGTTCACCAAGCATGCGCATACGGATCGGAACGCCCGAAGTGGACGCTCCTGGCCCACAACACAGACACCTTGCAGTGCCTAAATGATATTTGCCCAGGGGTAGGTCCTCATCACAAACACAAACCTTGGGGCCTGGCCAAGGGGGGAACCACTTTTTCAACAGCAGAGGAGACTGCCTACCCCATGAAACTTGCATTTCATATTGCGTTTTTCATTGCTCAACATGTTGTCTCGAAAGGGTGGACACCGCCTATGGGCGAATTGGCTATGCCTGATGAGCTTTCGTATCAATATCTCAGGTCTGTCACAGGAGTCCAGCCTAAATCGAGCAAACTGCCACCCTTAGTTTCCGAATTTGCAACCTTCCTGGATGTCGAAGTCAAACGCAGTGTAAATCCACCAATTGCACCGGGCGAAAAGTTATCATCGCCCTGGATGAATGTTCCCGTTGGCGCATGCCTCCTCAAAAAACCACTACGGTTAACTGGGGGAGTTGAACCAAAAATTGACCCTGACACAAAGAGACTGACCTTTGGTATTTACAGGTCGTGTGACCAATTCATCAGTCGAGCTGTCGTCGCTGGCCACCCTGTGGGGAAGGAGGCACGCCTGCCTCATGTACTCAGAGAAGCAGTTGATTTTGTGGTTAACCACTCTGCCAGACAAGTCGCTGAACATCGTTTGGGAGTATTGAAGCATTGGTTGGCCAGAGCAAGGGAGCTTTCCAACAAAGAAGCTCAGCTGCATACTACTTTGCCCGAAGCTATGAGAGGGATCCTTGCTCCAAAGCGCTTGCTCCTCTGGCGTGAAATGCTACTGCACTACGGTTACCCAGACAGTGAAGTTTTCGGCGAAGTCATCGAGGGGGTTTGCCTCTCTGGGAAAGCGCCGCATGTGGCATCTTTTGAACCCTGTTTTAAGCCTGCCAAAATCACAGAAGCTGAACTGGCATCCACCGCCCGATCAGCAAGAGTTGGCATGCTCGCTTCAATCAGGTCTTCTGGAGATGATTTCATCGACAGTGAGGTGTTCTCCAAGACCCAGGAGGAACTTGCCTGCGGGTGGCTTGATGGCCCCTTTGAAGCTTCTGAACTCCCTGAAGACGCGGTGGTCAGCCGCCGCTTCGGCATCAAGCAGGGTTCTGGTGAAAAACTTAAGGTGAGACTCATAGATGATTTTAGCGCCTCCGGTGTAAACTCTACCGTGCAGGTGGATAGTTGCTCCAAGCTTCACACCCTCGACGTGGTAGCCGCCCTGTGCATGGAGCTGCTGCGGTCATCTCCTGGGAAATGTTGGAAGGGCAAGACGGTCGATCTCTCTGCGGCCTATAGGCAACTAGCTGTATCTCCCAGTTCTCGCTGGGTTTCCTACATCGCAGTTTTTGATCCTTCTTCCCGATCCCCAAAGATCTATGCAATGAGAGCCCTCCCTTTCGGGGCCTCTAGATCAGTTTACGGATTCCTGCGGGTCGCTCACTCGCTTTGGTGGTTGGGGTGCAAAGCGTTGAAGTTGCCTTGGTCGAATTTCTTCGATGATTTTATCACCCTTGCTCAGGACCAGGAGTGTGACTCCCTATCCGTTGTGATCAACCAGTTCTTCAAGCTGCTTGGTTGGGCAGTGTCCTCTGGTGAGAAGGACCTACCCTTTGCAACCAAGTTTAAGGCCCTTGGTATAGAGATAGACTTGTCAGCCTGGGAAGAAGGCATTGTTCGGTTCACAAACACCGCCCAACGTGCGACTGAGCTTGCCAGCCAAATTGACAGCATCGTCTCTAAGAGGACTTTGACTTCACCTGAGGCCTTGGCCCTTAGAGGGCGCATGCAGTTCGCAAATGCACAGTTGTGGGGACGGGCCTCAAAACTTTGTTTGAACGCAGTAACAGCCCATGCCTACTCTACGGGTGGCGCGGCGGTCACCGACGACCTGGCTCGCTGTCTCCTCCTGTTTAAAGAGTGCCTCATTAGCCATAGACCCCGTGAAGTAACCCCATCCTGGGATAGTCCTTTATTCCTATTTACCGACGCCAGCTTCAGCCCTGAAAATGCAGACTGGCCATGTGGTTTGGGGGGCGTCCTTTTGGATAGCACTGGAACTCAATTGGCTGCCTTCTCTTGCAAGCTCGATTTTGCCGCCTTGAACATCTTGGGTTACCCTGCAAAGTCGACAGTCATTTTTGAAGCGGAACTCATGGCACTGCTGGTAGGTCTTGTTCTTTGGAAGAAGCAGGTGCGCGGACGGCCTTGCGTCTGCTATGTCGATAACAATGCCACCAGAGATGTTGCTATTGCTGGCCGGGCTAGGACGCAGCCTGGCCTCAGCCTTGTTTCTGAGCTTCTCCGTTTGGAAGACTCCATCGGGCTCATTGCATGGTACGCCCGTGTCCCATCTTTGAGCAACATAGCTGATGCCCCCTCACGCAATAGTGATGAAGGAATCTCCGTGAAGTTTACTCCATCAGGTTATGTAAATTTAGTTTTGGAAAAGATCTTGTCATGCATCAAGGACGGTTAAACTGGGGAAAGTGACAATGGCCTTTCTCTTCGATGTGGAGAGATGTTTACCTGGTTTTTGGATGACACATGGTATGTCACCTGGTTGCCTGTGAAAAGGCCTGATGCCAGACGGAGCGATGCAGCTTCGCATGTGTATGAAACAGGGATGGCCACATATGCACTTTTGATTTCCCCAGAGCCGTGCGAGAAAAAAGAATGCGATGGAGCGAGTGATCTGCGATTTTACATGTGCCTGTCGTTTTTATTTGTGTTTGGTTTCGTTTCATTTTGATTTGTATCTCGGAGGTGTTGTCTTCTGGCGACTAGTGGGAAAGTTAAGCATGCGGTCAACAACGTTGATAGCGCCTTAAATTTACTAACGGGAAAAAGTTTTCGTGCCCCAAAAACTTTTTAGCCAAGAAGACCTACCTCTTTGCCTTTGCTCTCTGAGCATCGTATGCCCGGCTCTTGGTAAAACCAAACCGTGTAAAAATGTTTGCAACGACATATCCACTTGCAAGATCACCAACCTGCAAAACAAACCTAAACTGTTTCGAGAACCTTGCCAAATCTTAACCTGCACGCAGTTTCAGATGTCAACATGTTTTCCTTGAAATCAGAGTTTGTGCAATCACAGTTTAGGTCTTGGTAACTCACTCATTTCATGTCACCCGTTTAAAGTTTGTCATTTCAAGCTGGCCTGTCCCGACCCAAAATGTCTTTTCTCCCGCCCTGGGCCAGCATTATGGTGTAAATTTTCCACCTTTAGCTCTTTTCATGACAAACACACAGCACTTCCGTGACTTGCAGCTGATTGTTGCATACTTGCATTGCATTGCCGTCACTTCACAGTGAAGTTCCGGCTTTCTCAGATTTTCAATTCAAGTGGCCTCTCCGCACTCAACCCACGATGACACCAGAGGGAATGGTGAACCTGACCGCGGTGGTATCGATATCATTCGCCTTCCTGGAGCATCAAGAGCTCACGGAACAAGAAGCCAGGGTGCTTCAATTTGATCAGATGATCACCAGTGCCCGGTCAGTACTGCGCCGGTGCGGACGACCACCCTTTTTGCGCTCCCTGTGGACGCTTTGGTGGCAGCTTTCGCAAGCACTCCATTCTATGGAGCAGGTGCTCTGGCCTGGCCAGCCACCGGACACTCCATTGAACCTGGACCTCCCGGTCGAGCCCCGTCCACTTTCGGACTTGCTGCTCGATGAGTTCGACAATGCGGCACCTACACGAGCCCTCGAGGCCTTCCAGCTGTGGTTTCACCAACACTACGATGCTACCTTGCACAGCGAACTGGATCAGACGTTGAGCGATGCCGCCTTGATCTTTCGCACGATCGAAGGCATGCTGATGCTCAAACAGCGATGCAGGACCCTGCAGCTGGCGTCTGCAGCAACGTCCTCACCACCTTCGACCGATGCTCCAGCGGCGGCCTCTTCTCCAGCCGCATTTCCGATCAACCTTCGGAATCCAGACGGTGGTGAACACCTTACCTGGTACTGAACTACAACATCTGGAACAGTGACGAAAGTGTCTTTCAGATCAGTTTTGCAGCTTGGGAAAGTGACAATGGCCTTTCTCTTCGATGTGGAGAGATGTTTACCTGGTTTTTGGATGACACATGGTATGTCACCTGGTTGCCTGTGAAAAGGCCTGATGCCAGACGGAGCGATGCAGCTTCGCATGTGTATGAAACAGGGATGGCCACATATGCACTTTTGATTTCCCCAGAGCCGTGCGAGAAAAAAGAATGCGATGGAGCGAGTGATCTGCGATTTTACATGTGCCTGTCGTTTTTATTTGTGTTTGGTTTCGTTTCATTTTGATTTGTATCTCGGAGGTGTTGTCTTCTGGCGACTAGTGGGAAAGTTAAGCATGCGGTCCCCTCATTGACGAAGGGCGGTGCTAGTCTTCCATATTTGACTTCAGAGCTCTGCAGGTTTGTGATTTGGACAGGCCACCAACAAGTTGGCCTTAGGTGCGACAACGAACCATCCACTTTGGCGCTTCTGGATTCTGTGCGCAGGGCCTTCAAAGGCCTTGGGATTCACACAGTCGTTGAACGTACAGTTCCAGGAAACAGTGAAGCAAATGGAGGTGCAGAGATCACAGTCCAAGTTCTTAGGAACCAAGCAAACCTTTTGATTCAGCAGGTCGAAACGCTTTGTGGTGTGACAGATCGCATGATTTTCCCCAGCAATCATCCACTTTATCATTGGGCTATGCAAGTTTCCTTCACAATCGCTTCTCGGTCTCTCACGCCATTTGAACGTTGTACGGGAAAAGTGTACACAGGCAAACTATGCTATTTCGGTGAGTGCGCCATGGGCTATCTCAAGCCTATTGCAAAGGGCTTACCAGCGTGGTGTCGTGGGGTGTGGCTTGGAAAGACATTTCTGAATGATGCCAACGTGGTGTATTGCAACAATGGGCTTTTCATCACAAGGTCAGTGAGAAGGATTCCCAATCCATGGTCTCTTGATTCCTTAGGGAGCGTGGGAGTGACTCCTCAATACTTTGTGCACACGTCTGTATGTGCCCAAACGGCACTCCACCCACGGGTATCAGTGCCAGCAATGGTTGTTCCCAAGGATGCTCAAACAGTTCAACAAACCCCAGATGAAGCAGCCTCGGAGCCACCGACACCATTTGTGCCAGTCCCATCACTTGGATTGGGCAGCGGGTTGTCCACACCTCTGCGAAGTGATGCACAGGGCCTATCAACACATGAAATCGCAGTGGCTCACATGGCGGCGCCACCTCCAAATGCTGCTTTGGCAGCACCAGCTTCCCCAAGAGGTCCAGGAGTTTTGCGTGATGTAAAGCCTGGCATGTCCAACGTTGAAGTTGCCGAACCTGGAAGTCCTTCCAAGAAAGCTCGTGTCAGTAAGATGTCTGACATGGAGTATGAGCATGAGGATGACCAGAACCTCACCACGCTTTCAGATGCGGATGTTGATCAGCTGGAGCTCTACGACCACGAGCTTCAAGACAAATGGGAAGATTGGGACTTAGGCGACTCGGAGTTGGACGGTCTCATGCCGCAGCTTATTTTCCCATTCTCGCAACATGAGCCTGTGCTTTCCCCTGCACATATGGCAGAGATCGACTCCATTGCTGAGCAGGAGACTCTTCGGCTTGTTCGAATGGGTGTTTTGCTTCCCATCGATTCCACTGACCCATCCAAGACCAAGAAGCTTTCCGCGCGTTTGTCATTACATGTCATTACATGGAGGTCCAAGACAATGGACGGCAGAGCATGTTGGCTCAGGAGAGCACGTTTTGTGGCAAGGGAATACAGCTGGTTAACTCCAGATCGGCGAGATTTGTTTTCTCCCGCTTCCAGTAGCTGCACGAGTAAACTCCTTCCTTCCTTGTATTTGTATTTGCTGAACAAGCATCCACAACAGAATTTTGTTCTGGCTTCCATGGACATTGGCGATGCCTTCCTTTGCGTCGACCAAGTTGATCCAGTGATTGTAACTTGTGAAGGCCTCAGCTATGCACTTGGGAAGGTGCTACCTGGTCAGAGAGATGGCAGCCAGCTTTGGTATGAACACGTGACAGGTTTCCTCGCTCATAACCTGAATTTCCACGACTGCAAGGGATACCCATGTTTGCTGGCATCGCCTGCCTCGAACTCAGACTCGGCCAATGCATGGAACAATTTAGCAGTTTCATGTTGACGACATGTTGATTGTTGCTGAAGAGCGATACTTTCATGACATTTTGGTGCCAACCGTGAACTCCAGGCACAAAACTTCCGTGCAGGTGATGTCATCCGTGGGTGATTCCATCGAATTCCTCAAAAGGACTCATGTGCTTGTTGAACCAGGCACGATCCACATCCAGCGCAACTCACGTCACTTTGACAAGTTGTTTGAAATCACAGGTGTGAAGGTCTCTATGCACGCCAAGAAGACACCGTGTCATGACTTGATGAATGAGCCAGACAAAACCAATGAACTGGATCCTGCAAAGGCATCCTTGTACCGAAGTGCAATTGGAGTTCTGATGTATTTGTCGTCAGACTTGATTGAGTGTGCTTACACAATCAGAAGACTTGCCCAATACATGGCAAAGCCTACACAGCGAAGTTGGGTGCTCTTGCGGCGTCTGT